GTGTGGGAGCAACACCGAGGGTTGCGATCCCGTTGCCGGTCCCGGTCCTGTACGGGCGCGACACTGAGGGTTGCGATCTGTTGCCGGACACGAAAAAAAAAAAAAAAATAGAATTGCTTTAGATTACCTACTGGCTGAACGGAGAGGAATCTGTGCCGTTGCTGACAATTCTTATTGAACATGGATGAACACATTGTGGATTATAGAGAGGTTGCAGGAGATTGACAAGTAAGCTGCTAGGTTAAAACAAGTAGAGTCTTCATCTGGCTCATTCTTTGGTTTGTTAGATTTTAGTTGGTTCGGTTCATGGGAATTCTGGCTAGGGATCATACCCCAAACTCTTTGGATTATCCTCCTGATCATCATAATAGTCGTCTCCCTGGTGCACTATATTCTCTCAAAAGATTTGAATTTTTGCATGCAGCCATCTGTAGAATGTCAAATGGTCTCTCTTCAGCTGGAATGATAAAAACTCAAAGAAATGCATGATCATGATGACATTTTAACTTATGGATGACGTGTTGAGATTGGAAACCCCAAATGATGGCAACCGAAGAGTAGCATTAATGTGTTGCTTTGCCTCCCATGGGTTTGTCACCCCTCTTCCACTGGATGACAGAGACACAAAGGATTACTCAAAGCCCATCTCTTATGAGCAGTGAGAAGCCCCGAAGTGGTTAATCTCCAGGAACCCTCAAGAGAGAGGCACTCCTTCCATTTGGGAAATTAACCACGAATTGGGGTTCTCTTCCCGCATTTATTCTCCAGACCAGGAAGTTACAGGAAGAGAACATAGGTGGGGTTATAGTTTAACAATATAGGCTGGTAACATTCACAAGCAAAGTGACATTCCATAAGGCAATTTAAGTGATCCATCAACAAAAGCTTGATCTTAGCAAACATTCCTTCTCCACACACAGCTTTACATACCACTCAGTAACTTGTCTGTCTTTGAACCAGCAACCTTGCTGTGTTACAATTTTTCATCTTACAGAGACTATAGCCTGGGAAAATTTTCCTGTTTTTTGAAAGGTCAACATTTTATATGTACTTTTAAGAAGTTAGACTAAACCTGAAAATATAAGAAACTAGGCCCTGTGAAATATATTTGTTTTATAGTATACTCCACACTAATGCCCTAAGTTTTGGTCACACTCTCACTTGGGAGAGAACCTGAGCAAAAGGGGGGAATTGTTAAATAAGATTGTGGGAGGCTATTGTTTTGAACTGAGATCCTGTACTAGACCAGACCACAGACCAGACCAAACCAAACTGGAGTCACTCATGCTTAGTGCCACATTCTCAAACTGAACCTTTAAGGAAACAAATAGATCCCCAAACAGATCAATTTGTTTTCTCCTCAGAACAGGAGAATCCAGCATAACAAGGAAGTCCCCTCTGCTCTAACCCTTATGAAAAAGTAACCTGATGTTCATCAATGATTTTTTTCCTATTGTTGGCTTTCTTTGCTCCCGTCTTATAAAACCCACAGTTCTGCTATTCTCCAATGGGATTTGAGACCAAGTAAGTCCATTTATGATGGTGACAGAGAGTGACATCCATGTCAAAAGCTTTGGTCAATCTCTGAAAATTGAGAGATTGACCAAAAGAGGGGAAATGTTAAATCAATTTGGCCTAAAGCTGCTTCCATGCATATTTTAAGTCTGACCTAAAGGTTTCTCTGTACATAGCGAACTGTAACTTAACGATGGTCGACTGTAGCCTACTCTTGGAACGAGTGGCTAAGTCTCAGCCAGTCACGGTAGCTGAACTTCATTCAACAGCGGGCAGCCAACTATTTAAACCAGGTTCAAATAGGCCAAATGCCCAGCCATAACCAGGCCACGTGTGACGTACTTCACTTCCATTTCCACATGTCACTTTCCTGTTTCTGTCCATAAATGCTATTCAACCACCCGGTAGCCCTAGAGTCGCTCTGAGCCTATCTGGTTCTGGGCTGCCCAACTTGCTGCTAATCATTCATTGCTCAGTTAAACTCTCTTAAATTTAATTTATCTAAAGTTTTTCTTTTAACACTGGAAAGAGAAGTAGCACTTCCAAAAAGGGCTTAACTCCTTCTATTACACTTTTGGAATTTAGGTAGCCAAAAAATGGAAACCAGGGACACGGAATGCACGAGATGAGAAATTCAGGTACTTCTCTCTGCAATAATGAAGGAAGGAGACACAGGATCACATTTGTATTTCAAAGACTGCTGGGTTCTTTTCATGCAGACTTTGGCATTAGGCCCCGTGTGTCCCAGCAGTGACAGGTGAACAGGGATGCCGGGAGTGGGACTCATGCATGCCTCGCACCCACAGGACACCAGGGGCCTGGTGCTGGCAGGTGCAGTGTGAAACATCTCACACCATGGATCAGTCTCCCAGGTGACAAACTCTGTTGCTACCAGCAACATATTCCAGTCCTTTGGACCATAAAGCAAAACTCAACACTCGTGTCCAATTCAACAAACAAAGACCTCTTAATCGTGGGTTTTCGGCCCTTAGAGGTTGGGCTATGGGGCTGGGAGTGACAAAGGGGTCCTGCAGGGTGTCCGGGCAGAGGGAGGGAGCAGCGGCAGCATCCTGGAGGGCGGCCCGGCACATGTGGCTGGGAGGCAGCGGCAGCGGGAGCAGCAGTGCAGGGGGCGGCTGTCCCAGCAGGGAGGAAGGCAGGTGTCGCTGTGGCTGCAGGGGGCCCGCATGCCCAGGGGGCTCATGGGGGTACAGTGAATGCAGCTCCTCTGTAGGAGAGGACAGAGAAGGTCACCTAGACACCTGGAGTTGGGCCCAGCGGCTGCCACTGCCTGACTCAAGGGATGGGCTCAGGACCTCTTGGGACCTGCAGGGTGGGCCTCACTGATGCTCCCCTCCCCCCCTGGGCTGCGGGCCCCCAGCCTCGATGTCCCTTCCACACTGAGCTCAGGCATGGAAAGTCTCCCCGCCTTCCTCAGGGGTTGACGTTGCTTCACCCTGGGCTGGGAGCCCGGGGAGCAAGGACAACGCCTGACTTCCCTCTGGCCCAGGAGTGCCCATAAGGCCCTCGGGAGTGTGTGTGGAAAGGACAAGCCCTGATCACAGCCCTCAGGCCGGGCTCTGGGTGAGGGCAGGTGGGGCATCCTCGGGTGGGTGATGGGCTGTGGAGGCAACAGCTCTGCCAGTCCCTTGGTTTGGGAAAAGAATGTTCCACACCCTTAGGGACAGCAGAATCTGTCTGCACAACCATTTGCCCATAGCCTTGCTGTCATCTCTCCAGCACCCTGCCCACTGTGGCTCAGCTGAGGACCGCCAGCCCTCACTTAAAGGGCCCACACGTGTCAGGGAGTGGGCCTGGGGCACACAGGCCACATGGCAGTGTCTCTGGCCACTCTGACTCCAGGAGAGGCAGACAGAGAAGGGGCCACTGTGTTCAGGAGGTGGTGCAGCAGGAGGAGGAAGACCATACTGGCCTTTCCACAGTGCAATTGAATTCCAGAGAGCAGTTTCTCAAGGACCACAGTGAGAACCTTCAAACCTAGAGAAGCCTACCGGCACCCCATGGCAGCCAAGCCTTCAGGAGAACAGGCTGAAGAGAGGCCCTTGTGTGATCTTCCTCAGTGTGCTCTGTGCCCCCACCCTGTGCCATGCCCAGTCACACTTCAGGCCTCCCTGCCTCTCTTTACCTGGCCCATTATGCGCAAGGTGCAGAATAAGACAGTCCCCGCTCAGAGAAGTTTCTGTTTCAGTGGCTCGCTGTGGCCAGCTATGGTTGGCTCGCTACTGTGGCCCCGAGAGCTATCCAGGTCCTAATCCTGGGAACCCGTGGCTTGGGTTCCTTACATGGCAAGAGGGATTTCGTGGCTGTGACTAAGCTCAGGAGGCTGAGATGGGACATTAAGCTGGATGATTCAGGTGGTGCTATGGTATCCCAGGGGACACAGGGGCACAAGGAAGGGACCCCCCACGTGTGATGGAAGGAGACATACTTTAAGGCTCTGCAGTGCCCGCGTGTGCATGGAGGAGGGATCACGAGTGCCCTGGCACACTGGGATGCGGCTCCAGAGGCTGGGAAAGGCAGGGAAGCTGTTCTCCCAGCGCTTCCGGAGCAAGTGCAGCCCGGGCCACACTTGGTTTCCACTAACAAATCCCATCGGACCTCTGGCCTCCGGAACAGGGAGAGAGGAAATGTGCCCTGTTCAAGCCACTAAGGGTGTGGGGATGCGTTGCGGGAGCANAAGGGCCCACACGTGTCAGGGAGTGGGCCAGGGGCACACAGGCCACATGGCAGAGTCTCTGGCCACTCTGACTCCAGGAGAGGCAGACAGAGAAGGGGCCACTGTGTTCAGGAGGTGGTGCAGCAGGAGGAGGAAGACCATACTGGCCTTTCCACAGTGCAACTGAATTCCAGAGAGCAGTTTCTCAAGGACCACAGTGAGAACCTTCAAACCTAGAGAAGCCTACCGGCACCCCATGGCAGCCAAGCCTACCGGCACCCCGTGGCAGCCAAGCCTTCAGGAGAACAGGCTGAACAGAGGCCCTTGTGTGATCTTCCTCAGTGTGCTCTGTGCCCCCCACCCTGTGCCATGCCCAGTCACACTTCAGGCCTCCCTGCCTCTCTTTACCTGGCCCATTATGCGCAAGGTGCAGAATAAGACAGTCCCCGCTCAGAGAAGTTTCTGTTTCAGTGGCTCGCTGTGGCCAGCTATGGTTGGCTCGCTACTGTGGCCCCGAGAGCTATCCAGGTCCTAATCCTGGGAACCCGTGGCTTGGGTTCCTTACATGGCAAGAGGGATTTCGTGGCTGTGACTAAGCTCAGGAGGCTGAGATGGGACATTAAGCTGGATGATCCAGGTGGTGCTATGGTATCCCAGGGGACACAGGGGCACAAGGAAGGGACCCCCACGTGTGATGGAAGGAGACATACTTTAAGGCTCTGCAGT